GGGGATGAGAGTGCTTTTGTCAATTGTGTTAGCTCAATTGAGTTAGGTTAACATAATTGAAAACCCTTCTTTCCACCTGTGTAGATACAAGCTGACATCTTTGAAGTCCTGGTAGCTGATCATGTTGTATCCTAGCCTCCCGACTAGTCTAAGCCAATGGTGCACAAGCCTCTGTTCATGGGTGCCTCCAGCCGACTGGGGTGTTTCTTGTGGCTCCTCACTTCCTGCAGAATGTATGCTGTGATTTAATTGGTTCTGTTTGAACCAATGCAGATCTGTCTTAGGGCTAGACTGTGCCCTCCTCTCCTACCCTGAGTACCACCTTACTCTCCAAGGTGTTGTCATCATGCAGGTCTCATCATAAGTCAGAGGATCAGAATCTTGCCTATTGTGAGTCTGTAGAGAGTTAGCCTGAAACTATTGCTTTGAGAGATGTGAACTGACCCTGATTTATCTCAGTGTGGTGCTAACCCTGAAGCCTAATGATGATAGTGTAGATGTCAACATTCTTCACTAATATTTAAGTGAAATATCCAATTGATAAGAATAGCCACTAGGGCTGGATATCAGAAATTCTAGAAAAGATATGAAAAAGGCTAATACCTTTAGAATACACCTTACTTGAACATATCTGTGAAGGAGAGGTGTACTGGCAAAAGTGGGTTGGAGAGGGCAGAAAGCTACTGGGTTTGATAGATAAATCCTGCAAGGAGTTTCAGCAGCATCTTGTAAAAGGCTAAAAATAGTGCATGGTATCACATATCAGTATGTGCTGTATCCACTTAGACCTAGTTAGATGAATTCAGACATGTCTGCTACAACCTTAATTCTTCAATTCTTGGACCTTTATTGATTTGTCAGTTCAGCATTTTCTTAATATCTACTCTTATGGATTAACTTTCTCTGGTTTATCTTTATTAAAAAAGTAACCCTGTTCGTCACCTGTCATGACTTACTGTAGTTTGCCAATTTATGTTATCAATAAGAATATACAGAATATTAAAAATTTAGTTACTTAAAAATAACCCTACACATAGCAGCCAAATTTCAACTGAGCTGTCTTATTTTTAAAAACACCACAATCAATATTTGAGTGCACGTTGGAACAAAAATGTGGAGTCGTATCCTCTAGCCCTTACATAAGTAAAGATTAACTAGTGAAGTCAGTGGGATTGCTCAAGAGTGAGAATTACTTAGGTGAGTAAAAGTTCTAGGATCAAGTGAGTGTGTTTGAGTTATAAGAGCAAAGAAAAGATATTAAACCTCTATTTTTTCATGATGTCTAAATACGACTTCGCTTTGAGGTTTGTTTTTTTATATGTGCCCATGCTGATCGTTGACAAAATAATTACTCTGTTAAGAAATTATATCAAAGTTATCATTATCCCTTGCAAAAACAGAGTTTTACAATGGAAATACGAATATAATCTTAAAGTGAGACTGTCAGGGCTTTAAGCTTCCATTTAACCTAACCTAAAAGTTGTTAGGCATCTGATGGGGAAAGTCCTCTGAATTCTAAATATTTGTTACTATTTTTTAATCTATCAGTGTATTCCCACAATTTTTGTAGTCCCTCCTGCAGCAGCATCTAACAGACAGATCACTGTTCTTGGTGCCCTTGGTATCCTACTAAGGTGAAACAGAAGTTGAAGTTAATGTTGTCTTCGTTGGATAGGAAGAAAGCCCTGCTAATTACAGTTCTAGTCACAGGAAAAGTCATTAGTTGCTGTATAGAATAAAACTGAGGTGTTGGTTGTTTTTTTTTCAGATGGCACCATTGTTACTGCAGTGAACTGGCAAACATTAAAAGGTCCTGTATCTATATATATGGTCAGGTTTCAAACTATTGCTTACATGACTAAACAAAGGAAAAAATTTGAGCTGTGCCAGATGCTTTATTTAATGACACTGGGATACTTTTACAAGGAATTAATCGAAGGAGGAAAAAACCTTTAATGGAGCACAGAAAACTGAGACTGGCATGACCCTTTCATGATTATATTTCCCCTAAAAGAGATAAGGAATTCGGGGAAGAGCAACAGAAATGATAAAAGGGCTGCAGGGAATGATTTGTCAGGAAAGATAAAAAGAACTGACTATGCTATAGCTTGGCAACCACTGGCTACGTAGATTGATATTACAGTGATAGACTTTTCTAACGTACACAGGGCCTAGGTCGAGAACCGGCAAAGGAAAGAGAACTATCCAAGGGCTTACCCCACAACTTTAGCTGAAGGGGCTACAGCTAGGAGTAAAAGGATAAAATTAAAAGAAAGGACGAATTAAGCTATGCAACTGTCTCCACAGAAAAGGGAGAGCTCTATAGGTTGGGATGCTGATCTGTAAACGTTATAGGAACCAGTTCTGTATTGAACTCAAAGAACTGGGCGGGCTGGGACACCCCTCCCAAGGAGGCAGGCTAGCTGGGACTCCCAGAAGGGATTAAATAGAAAGGGACCTGCAAGGGAAATGGGTTAGCTGGGTGATAGGTTATAGGGGAAGTCCTAAGGGGATCAGGCTGGCTGGATCCCTGGGCATTGGGTTAGAATGGGAGTCCAAGTGACGGATGGGGCTAGGTAGATCCTCAGGGCAATGGGCTAGATGGGATCCTGGAGGGATGGGGCTCACTGGATCCCAAGGGCATTGGGCCCTAGGGTGTGGGCCAGAGGGGACACCAGGGGTGGGATGAGCTGTCTGGAACCTTCACTGCACTGGGCAGCACAGTATGGGGAGGAGGTGACCAGCCCTCTGTGGAGAAAAAAGTGGTTCATGACTATTTAGAAAAGCTGGACGTGCACAAGTCCATGGGGCCGGATGCGCTGCATCCGAGGGTGCTAAAGGAGGTGGCTGATGTGATTGCAGAGCCAGCGGCCATTATCTTTGAAAACTCATGGTGATCGGGGGAGGTCCCAGATGACAGGAAAAAGGCTAATGTAGTGCCCATCTTTAAAAAAGGGAAGAAGGAAGATCTGAGGAACTACAGGCCAGTCAGCCTCACCTCAGTCCCTGGAAAAATCATGAAGCAGGTTCTCAAGGAACCAATTCTCAAGCACTTAGAGGAGAAGAAAGTGATTGGGAACAGTCAGCATGGATTCACCAAGGGCAAATCATACCTGACTAACCTAATTGCCTTCTACTATGAGATAACTGGCTCTGTAGATGAGGGGAAAGTAGTGGACATGTTATTCCTTGACTTTAGCAAAGCTTTTGATACGGTCTCCCACAGTATTCTTGCCAGCAAGTTAAAGAAGTATGGGCTGGATGAATGGACTGTAAGGTGGATAGAAAGCTGGCTAGATTGTTGGGCTCAGCGGGTAGTGATCAATGGCTCCATGTCTAGTTGGCAGCCGGTATCAAGCGGAGTGCCCCAAGGGTCGGTCCTGGGGCCAGTTTTGTTCAATATCTTCATTAATGATCTGGAGGATGGCGTGGATTGCACCCTCAGCAAGTTTGCAGATGACGCAAAACTGGGGGAGTGGTAGATACGCTGGAGGATAGGGATAGGATACAGAGGGACTTAGACAAATTGGAGGATTGGGCCAAAAGAAATCTGATGAGGTTCAACAAGGACAAGTGCAGAGTCCTGCACTTAGGATGGAAGAATCCCAGGCACTGCTACAGACTAGGGACACAGTGGCTAGGCAGCAGTTCTGCAGAAAAGGACCTAGGGGTTACAGTGGACAAGAAGCTGGATATGAGTCAACAGTATGCCCTTGTTGCCAAGAAGGCTAACAGCATTTTGGGCTGTATAAGTAGGAGCATTGCCAGCAGATCGAGGGATGTGATCATTCCCCTCTATTCGACATTGGTGAGGCCTCATCTGGAGTACTGTGTCCAGTTTTGGGCCCCACACTACAAGAAGGATGTGGAAAAATTGGAAAAAGTCCAGCGGAGGGCAACAAAAATGATTAGGGGACTGGAGCACATGACTTATGAGGAGAGGCTGAGGGAACTGGAATTACTTAGTCTGCAGAAGAGAAGAATGAGGGGGGATGTGATAGCTGCTTTCAACTACCTGAAAGGGGGTTCCAAAGAGGATGGCTCTAGACTGTTCTCAGTGGTACCAGATGACAAAACAAGGAATAATGGGCTGAAGTTGCAGTGTGGGAGGTTTAGGTTGGATATTAGGAAAAACATTTCACAAGGAGGGTGGTGAAGCACTGGAATGCGTTGCCTAGGGAGGTGGTGGAATCTCCTTCCTTAGACGTTTTTAAGGTTAGGCTTGACAAAGCCCTGGCTGGGATGATTTAGTTGGGGACTGGTCCTGCTTTGAGCAGGAGTTGGACTAGATGGCCTCCTGAGGTCCCTTCCAACCCTGATATTCTATGATTCAGCCTTGGGTCTCTGGGTGGGCTGGCTTTCCCCCCAGGCAATGGGCCTCAGGGCAGTGGGGTAGAGGGGGCTCCTGTGGGAGTTGCGCTGGCTGGATTCCAGGGTCATGAACCCTGGGACGATGTGTTAGAGGGGGAACTGGGGGGACGGGCTGGCTGGATCGGGGCCCCGGGGGATGGGCGGTGGATCAGGGGGGGGGGGCCGGGGGGGGGCTGGCGGATCCCAGGGCGAGGGCCCGGGGGGGGAGGGACGGGCGGCTTTCCCCCAGGCAAGGGCCCAGGGAGTGGGGTGAGGGGGTCCTGTGGGAGTTGCGCTGGCTGGATTCCAGGGTCATGAACCCTGGGACGATGTGTTAGAGGGGGAACTGGGGGGACGGGCTGGCTGGATCCCAGGGCGATGGGCCCCAGGGGGACGGGCTGGCTGGATCCCAGGGCGATGGGCCCGGGGGGGATGGGCTGGCTGGATCCCAGGGCGATGGGCCCCGGGGGGACGGGCTGGCTGGATCCCAGGGCGATGGGCCCGCGGGGGGGACGGGCTGGCTGGGGAGCAAGGCGCTGAGCGGGGGGGACGGGTTACTTGGGCCCCGGGCCGGGCCCTGCCTCGCCTCCATCTTGCTGCCTGGGCTCCGCTCCGCTCCCGCCCCCTGTCGGGATGGGGGTGTCACTTACCGGCTGGTCCCCTCCGGCGGCCCCGCTGCCCCGGCCGCTCCCTGCTGCCGCCGCCCCTGGGTGCCGGTCGTGGCCGGCCCCGGAGTCCCCGGCGGGCCCCCGGCGGGGCGGGCCCGGGATGGGGGCAGCCGGGCCCCGAGCCGTGGGGGGCAGCGCGCCCGGCTCCTCGCACTCAGCCAGCACCTCCTCCAGCAGCTCCCAGTCCGAGTCCTCCGCCGGTTCGCCCGGCTGCGGCCGCCGCAGGCTGGTGCTGGGCAGCTCCGTGGGGGCGGGCGCCTGGCTGCCCCTGGCCTCCTCGCCCTGCCCGCTGGGGGCGCTGCTGCTTCTGCCCCGCCTGCCAGGACGATCCGCGGCGGGGCTGCAGCTCCGCTTCCTCCTGCTGCTGCCGCTGCCCATGCTGCCGCCGCTGCCCTCCGGGCCGGGGGTGCTGGCGGGGCCTCCTAACGGGGTGACTCGCCTGGCCGGGATTCCAGAAGCCAGCAGCTGCCGCTGCCTCGGAGCATCCTGGCTGCTGCTGGGGCAGGAGAGGCTGATCCCGGATCCCCTCTTTCCCCTCCCCGCCTCCCCCTTGTTTGCTTTGAGGGACCTTAGAAGTGAAGCGACTAACTCCTCCTGGGGACGGTCCAGCAGTGGCAGTCAGTGAGCACAGGAGCAGCAGCCTGGGAACCTGCCCTCCCAGCTGCGAGGAAAGGAAATCGGCTGTTTGGAAGCTGCGAATCCCAAGAATTTACCCTCAAGAAGGAACCAACTGGGTGTAACCTCGCTGTGAATGTGTGTGTGTGTGTGTGTGAACATGGAGCCAGTTCAAAAACATCCTGGAAAAAAAATCTCAAAAAAGGAAATACCACAAAGCAGTGCTCACAACTTCAATCTGCTGTTGAGCTTAGTCTGTGGAAACCATGACAAATAAACATGGATTTTTTTTTATTTGTGTGTGTGTGTGTGTGTGAGAGAGAGAGAGAGAGAGAGAGAGAGCCTGGACTATAAAGTGAAAGGAGAGAGGAACTCAAAGCAAAAACTTTAGATTCGAACTTAAACTTAGTCCAGAGAAATATGGCCCTTTCCTCTTCACTCTTCCCCCAGCACAATGTTTTCATATTCTCTGATGCTTTCAATTTCAGTTACTTTAAGGGCAGGACAAAAATCAAGCTGTCTATACAACATATTTGGACTCTTGAACATAACCAGGACACTGGTCAGATTAATTGCAGAATAATTATGGATTTTAGACTGTAAGAAAGGAGCTCTTTCGAAATTGCCCTTTCTAAAATGTGAATCAGATAATTACTAAAAAGCCAAACAGACTGAGAAAATAAGATCACACAGTAACTCATAAAAAGAGTGTGGTATAAATTACAAATCAAAATATGCATTGATTCTTGGTTCACATTTCTCAAGGGGACAATAAATTGTTTCATATTATCTCCTTTTAAATATGTGCTGTGTTTCACACCCCAGATGCATAAGATCTAGCCAAAACCTCATACTTTGGCTTCATATGGCTGTTATAGATCTCCAGATGGATAGTGTACAGGCTACTCATACAAATTCTTCTTAAGCCTGATCTGCCCTAGCAAATTGACCATTACGAAAAATGGTTTTCAGTAGCAGCTCCTCTGAACTGGTATAAAAAATGGGCTTACACTACACAAAACAATGTCTATTCCTTTTACAACCTGGCCCCCTCCTCACTTTTGGATAGACACCAGTCCATAATAAACAGACCCAAATCCTGCCCTAGGTGCTTCTAAGCCCCTCTGAGTCTGAGTAGTGACTGGTATGGTTCCCAGTTATGGGTCTGTCAGGCATACTCCCAGGAGCACACCCCATGTTTGACACCCTTTTAGAGCAGTGGGATCCCACAGTTCAGCTACCTCTGTCCTCCAGGCCAATGACCCAGCTCTCCTGAGTCCCCAATTATTTAGATATGTTCCCTTCCATTGATCACCTGGCTCTGGGAACTCTGATTTCTCGTTAAACCCTTCAGGGCCAACATGGCAGGAAAGCAAGGGAACACAGGCCTAGCAAAGGAATTTCTTAACCACAGACACTTTACTCTTAGGCTATGTGTACACTGCAGACCTTACAGCGGCACAGCTGTACCGCTGCAGCTGCCCCACTGTAAGTTCTCCCACGCAGATGCTCTATGCTGGCGGAAGAGAGCTCTAATGTCGGCATAATTAAACCACCCCCAGTGAGTGGTGGTCACAATGTCAGCAGGAGAGCGTCTCCCACCGACATGGCACTGTCCACACCTGCGCTTCTCTTGGTGAAACTTATGTCGGTCAGGGTGTATTTTTTTCACACACTCCTGATCGAAAAAAGGTTTACCAACAAACGTGCTAGTGTAGACATAGCCTTAATAAAACACATGAGAGAGTTACAGAATCTTTGAAAAACAACAAAATCCAGAACTCACTCTGCTTAGTCTGTTCTGACACAAGAGGCCTGGGTTGGGTCAGTTTCTTTAGGCTAGGCAGCCCTTCCTACCTTCTCTCTCCTTAGTCTGATCTTATATGAGATCAAACATAATGATATAGAAAGTCGCTATTGATAAAATCTCTATTTAGAGTATAGAAGTAGAATGAAAGATCTAACTTGTGTCAATGTATAAATTATAAGGGTAGAAAGTGGACCTCTATTTATGTGGCCAAATCCTATAGCTCTCTCTCTCTGTCCAAACACCCATTGACTCACATGAGAGTGTTGCTCATAGACTCATAGACTTTAAGGTAAGAAGGATCATCATTATCATCTAGTGAATCTGACCTGCACATTGCACAGAACCTCACCCCACTTCTGAAATAGACCCCTAACCTCTGGCTGAGTTACTGAAGTCCTCAAATCATGGTTTAATGACTTCAAGTTACAGAGAATTCACCATTTACATAGTTTAAACCTGCAAGTGACCCATGCCCCATGCTGCAGAGGAAGGCAAAAAGCCTGCCAATCTGACTGGGTGAAAAATTCCTTCCCGACCCCAAATATGGCGATCGGTTCGACCCCGAGCATGTGGGCAGGACCAATCAGGCAGATACCTGGGAAAGAATTCTCTAGAGTAACTCAGAGTCTTCCCCATCTAGTGTCCCGTCTCCATCTGTTGGGGATTTTTGCTCCTGGCAGTCGCTCAAAGTAAGGACTGAAGAATGTAGCCCATAGCCAAGGTCTATGGGGGAAAAAAGTGATTTCACTGGCAATGGGTCCCAAGGTGTATGCAAAATGGCATGTGTGAGCAAACCAGATCAGATCTGAATAAACATTTCTTCCTTGTGTCTTCTGAGGTGTACTACTAGCGCTCAGAAACCAACAGACCCTTTGTTTTCCACTGCAGGGCTATAGTATATTTGTTCAGAAACAATGTAGAAGGTTCCTCAGAGGAACAAAGGTATGTGTACACTTTCTACATTGTGACCAAACAACATAAAGAGCAGTGCCTCTGGAATGCCACAGTTCAAAGGAGAACACAGTTGGATACGTGTTCCCAAGTAATTTGCACCAAAAGGCATATCCAGAACTTGCCACCTGAGGGCTTACTACCACCCCATGTCCTCCACAGCCTGGTAAACACACTGGAGTTTCCCAAGTTCTGTACTATGAAGATGAACTGTTGTGAAATGCAGCTAATCCTTGATATGGAGCTGAGTGGTGGTATTCTTGCACAAAAGGAGACTGAAAATATATTTGCATAAAGGCCCATTTGACACACACCCATTTGAGAATGAGGGCCAGGAAAAACTGAAATATGTATCTGTGGTCCCGCTAGTCACGGATTTCCTCAAGTTCTCATTTCATTCTTTGTTGCTGGGAATGGAATGTTTGTTTGATTGACAAATCACTAGATATCATTCAAATTAAAATATCTTTCAAGGGCAAAATTTTCACTCTCCCCAGGTAGGGAAGTAAGAGGGTGTAAGGAGGGTCCCTTATTTCCCAACATGGTCTACTATATTGCAAGGAGCAGAGTAGGGGTAGGAGGGAGAACAGCCTCTGTGAGGCTGCTACTTCCCCTTTGTAACAGGGTGATTGCCCCTTAAGGGTAGTAAGAACGAGTGGTCAGTCAGCAGCTGTTCCGTGGTGTGTCCCTTTAAGTCCTGGTACTTTTAGAGTGTATGAAGACCTAGATAAAGCAGAGGTAGTTGTTGGGAAAAGGGAGACAGCAACAGGGAAAGGATCTGAGTGCTGGGAAAGATGGTGGTGTTGTCACCAGCTGGGGAGACAGGAATACATAATTTCAAAACAAAACACAGTATAAAATGGTACAAAGATTGATTCCGAGCATTCTCATCATTTTGCCTTTCCTTGAAATCCCCTGGTTTGTGGAGACCTTCCTTTTGGCAAGGAGGCCTGGATGTAGTTCTTGCTGGATTCTGTTATCACAGTTGGCCAGAAGGCAGTCAGTCTCTTTGTGGGCTGAGGTTGTTGTTGCCACTACACACCAGCTCTTACAAGTCAGGCAGATCGAGGTCAAGCTTAGAATTTTTAGTATCCTAGGTAACATAAATAGATCTGTGCTGTGCTTTAAAGAATTGGACTCCTAGTTAAACTGTCCTTCAAGAATATAACTTCCTGTTGATGAAAAAGGTCTACAGATGATCTGAAGTCACTGAGCAGAGCAGATCTGCTACTGCACTTCATCAGAAAATAGTAAATACAGCCTTCTTTTATAATAGTATAAGCAGGTGTGTATGAACTCTCTGTGGACATTCATGATTTTCCATAGAACAGCTTTACAGGAGCCAAATTCAGGTTCCCTTCCCTCCTTGCCTACGGGGAGCTAGCAATTAGGTGGGCTAGATAACAGTAGTGTGGGACTCTGCTGAGCATTGTTGCGGCAGGGAGGATGATTAATTTATGTTGTCGCTTGGTTTGATCTAGGCTGTTTGTTTACTGGTGTATTTTAAAAAGATTTTCAAGGGCACCCAGCACAATGGATGGGCGCTTTTTCATTACGGTCGAGCACAAATGTGAATGAATGAATGAATAAATAATACAATTGGCCTGTTCCTCTGTTATTGTGAATTCATAGCTTTATACCATGTGCGTTTGTTTGTAGTCACAAGGGTTCTGATCCTCGGAGGTACTGAACAACCTGGCCTCCCACTAATGTCAGTGGGCCAAATTCTGAGGTCCTTACTCAGGGCCAGATCCCCAGCTGATGTCTGATGGACGTTGTCATAGCTTCACTGACTTCAGTGGAACTATGACAACTTACGCTAGCTGTGAATCCATCTCTCCACTTTCACTTAGTCCTTTCTCAGGGAAGACACCTATACCCGCGTAAATAGTCATTAAAAACAGAGGAAGCACCTCAGTATTTGGCCTCATGGGAGTTTTGGATGCCCTGCCCCCAGAGGACAGGGCCCACACATACCGTAAATGACATTGCTTGGTTCTTTTACCTTGTGTAAACACACTGCAAGGATCCCCTGCCCTGTGTACGCGCTGGGATGTTGTGCTCAGCTGTGTTCTCTTGCTCCATTTTATTGACATGCTGTAAAGAAGCATTTCTGTCCCTTTCCAAATGTAATTGTTGCTCCGGCTCCTGAGGGCTGCAGCTTGAAATTCTTTTTGTGTGGTGCTAACGGGGTGCATTCCTCCCTGAGTGGAAGGGCATCCCAGAGATCAGGGACAAAACCTGTCTTTCAATCTTTTAACGAGAAGAAGTGAGCAAATTCCTCCTTTTGCTCCATCTTTTCAGCCAGGGTGAGTGCTGCGCCAAGCTGGGGCTGCTGTTTGTTGACTCTCTCTCTTTCTCTCCAGCTGGAATGTACACACAGGCACACAAAAAGGGGGATCACTGCTAAACTCCCTCTTCAGAGGCTGGCAATGGCGTTGTGTTCAGGCTCCGACCATTCGTAAAACTCATGTGAGGCATCTTCTAACTCACAGCAGTTATTAATTCGT